TCCCCTAGTCCCCCCCCCCCCCCCTCCCGCCACCCCCTCCCTCACTCCTACCCCGTGTGCGGCAATAGTGACCTCAAGCAGTCGTCGTCGCAGAAGCAGGACGACTCGGAGGCCGAGCCCAAGTTTGTGATGGGCGAGCCCATCCCGCTCCCTGCGGCGCTGCTGGAGCAGTACGACTACCTCGAGTACAAGTGCTTCATGGGCGTGTTCCCGGAGATCAACCGGGCGTGGATTACCCGCGACAACCACATCTTCCTCTGGAACTACAACGACGGGGCTGGTGCAGACTTTGTCTCGTACGACGACCTCGACCAGGTCATCATTTCGGCCGGGCTCTGCAGGCCGAAGGCTGGCGTCTTCCGCGACGAGATCCAGTGGCTCTTGGTCCTGGCCACTCCTGTCGACATTGTCATTGTAGGCATGTCGTTCGAGCACAACTCTATCTTTGGTGAGCTGACTCTAGTCCCGACTCCGCTCACCATCCCGTCCGACAATGTGAACATCACCCACATCCGCGGCACCGTCGACGGTCGCATCTTCCTCACCGGCCGTGACGGCAACCTGTACGAGCTCGAGTACCAGGAGCAGGACGGCTGGTTTACCCGCAAGTGCCGCAAGCTCAACCACTCGCAGTCGCCGCTCGCGCCGTACGTCCCCTCGTTCCTCCGCCTGTGGAAGACCCTGCCCATTGTCGACATCACCATCGACCACTCGCGCAACATCCTGTACACCCTCTCGGCGGCGCTGCCTGACGAGCCGGCAAGCTCCGCCGGCGCCTCGCGCCGTTCGTCGTCGACGCCGCCGGTCATCACCGTGTGGGACCTCGGCGAGCTCGGCAACGAGCTTGTTCGCGTCAAAACCTCTCGTCCATCATTGCCGACGCTAACAAGAACCTGCACTCGGTCATTGGCGTCGAAGATGCCATCGTCTCCATCCACGCCATTCCGGTCACCGAGTTTACCGACGTCCACCTGGTCGCCGTCACCCGCAAGGGCATCCGAATCTACCTCTCCACCTTTGTCTTTCGCGGCAACCGGCCGGTCCCGTCGGCGCGCCCGCAGACGCTGCAAGTCGTCCAGGTCCGGTCGGCCCCGTCAGCCCCTGTGCCTGCACCCCGCCCTGGCGCCGACATGTACCGCGGCCAATACTCGTCGTTTGCTTCTCACAACCAGTCTGGCTTCAACCACCACGACTACAGCGCAGGACCGTCGGCGAACCGTCAGACCGTGGTCCACACCGCGTACCACTCGCACGGTGTGTTTGTCACAGCCTCCTCAGTCGACGCCCACAAGGACCGCGTCGTGTGCGTCGGCGACGCGTGGCGTAAGCTCGCGGTGCAGTCGTACAACGGCAAGTTTGCCAACTCAGGCCAGACCTCTGCGCTGGAGTTTCAAGGTCGGACGTGGGACGTTGCCGAGGTTCCGATGTCCATCTTGATCCAGCGTGACCAAATCTCGGAGCTCGCGCCATCGTACGCGTATCTCACTCGTGACGCGTCCAAGTCGCTGGCGGCGACCGCGAGCTCGGGGGCGGCGACAACCAATGCCAACGCCCGCAAGCGGCGGCAGGAGGCCGGCGCTTCGCTCTCTGTGGCTCAAAACCGCACGTCTGCAGGCATGGCGGCGGCGGCGGCCTCGGCTGCCGTCCGCCACCCGGCCGCCAGCGGAGCCGGTGCGAGTTCATCAGCGACGGGCGTTGGATTGGCGGACGCCGCAGGCTCGTCGGGCTCGTCGTCGCTCAACTCGCTCTTCTGGTCGCTGTTTGGCAAGACAGCGTCGACGAGCGCGACGTACGTCCCGCTCCGGTCGCGGCCCAACGAGCTGGCGACGCAGCACATTCTGCCGGCGCGCAAGTTTGTGCTCCTCACCAACCAGGGCCTCAACGTGGTGATCAAGCTCCGCCCAGTCGACCTGCTCAAGAACCTGCTTGACGCCACGCGCGGCGATCTCGACAACCCCTACGTGGTCAACTTTTCCAACCATTACGGCGCGACCGAGATGGTTGCCATGTGCCTCATTCTCGCCACTTCGAGCATCTCGTCGGCGGCGCCGGCGTCGTCGCTTGCCCTCCGTGCTGCGGCACCGTACCTGGACATGGGCTCGCCCACTCGCGGGCGGACGTCTCTCGCCCGCGGCTCGCTCTCGGCGAGCGCGCCCGACAGCAACATTGTCCGCTACGCCACGTCGGCAATCTTCAAGTTTGGCCGCACTTCGCTGGCGCCCGACACCGGGACTAGCGGGCACGAGGCCACCAGCTCGATCCTTGGCGGCGCCGCCGCTGCCCGCACCGTCCAGTTCTCGAGCGTCCACGATGGACTCTACCGCTACTTTTCGCGGCTGGTCAAGCCTGTCTGGGCCCTTCCGCTCACGTACCGGACGTCGACCAACTCGACGGCGCAGTCGCTTCAGCTCGAGGCCCCGCAGTACGCCGAGCTTGAGCGGCAGCTCTCGACACTGCGCGCCTTTATCGCTGACGAGCCGCGATTCCTCGATGTGTCGGCAGCCGTCGAGAGTGACGAGCCAGCGTCGCTAGTCCGCTTCCAGCAGCTCCTCAACCGCACCATCGAGGCCGCAGCCTTCCTGCAAGTCCTTCTCCGCTACAACCTGCCCGCGCTCACGGTCGCCATTCCGTCGGAGCTCTCGAACCGGCTCCGCCAGCAGACCTTTGCCTCGCTCGTTGCAACGTCGGAGGGCAACGTCGTGGCGCGTGGCCTCGTCACCGAGCTCATGCGCATGGTGGCCGGCGACGAGACTACCGACGAAATCTCGCAGGTCATGCACCGCCGGTGCCCCTCGTTCTTCTCCTACGGCGACATGCTCCGCTACAAGGGCTTTGAGCTGCTGTACAAGAGTGAGCAGGCCAACTCGGCGCGCGAGCGGACCGAGCTCCTCGACACCGCACTGCGGCACTTTGTCAAGGCGGCGGCAACCATCGAGGATCTCGACTCGGTCACCGACCGCTTTCGCTTCCTCCGGTTCTACACGGGGGTGCTCGACCTTGCGCTTGCCCGTGCCCAGGCCGTCGACCCACACGACCAGGCGCTGCAGTACGTGCTCGGCGGCGTCAACGTTCAGGTTGAGCAGGCGGTCAAAGACGCTTTTGACGCCCGCTTTGCCGCCTACAACGCCGTTCTCAACACCCTCGACGAGCTCCTCCGCCCGGCGGCTCGCGCCAACCCGACGCTCGGCCTCGCGCCGCGCCCGCCGATCGACCCGGCCGACCTTGACCGCGCCCGCGCCCACTTTGTGCAACGGGCCGTCGCCTCGCACGACGAGCTCTTCCACATCACGCTCTACCGCTGGTACATCGACCAGGGCCTTGTCAACGAGCTCCTCTCGCTCAGCTCTCCGTACCTCGAGAGCTTCCTCGTCCGCTACCCGGAGCACGTCGACATGCTGTGGAACTACTACATCCGCAACTCCAAGTTCCGCCAGGCCGCCATCATCCTCGCTCGCCTTGCCGAGGCCGTCGATCCGCCGGTTGCGCTCCAGACCCGCATCCAGTACCTCGTCCGCGCCATCAAGTGCGCTTCGGCCGAAGCCACGGACTTTACTGACGGTGAGTTCCTCCACGAGCTCGAGGAAAAGCTCGAGGTTGCCCAGCTCCAGTCGCAGGTCCTCGCCGAGCTCGAAGCCAAGAACGTCGGCGCCGAGGTCGGGGCGCTCGCCTCGCGCCTCCTTGACATCTCGACGCTGTACAACGAGTACGCCGACCTGTACAACCTGCATTGGTCCTCGCTCGCTATCATGCACACCGCCTCCGGCCTCGACGACTCGGAGCGGAGCCAGCGGGTCAAGGCCATCTGGGCCGCCATCGTTGACCAGGCGCTGCCTGCATCCAGCACCGCCGACCGTGCCGAAGAGCTCGCCCGCCTCCTTGTCTCGGCCGGCCGCAAGTACTACCCGCAGTCGTCGGTCTTCCGCATTGACGACCTCACCGCTCTCCTCGAGGCCCGCTCGCTCGAGGTCGGCGTTCCCAACCGCCTCTGGGTTGTCGACGCCCTCATCGCCGTTGGCGTCCCGGTCGAGACCCTCTTTGCCATCTACGACCACCACTTTTCCGCCCGCTCGCCGCCCTGGCAGACCCGCGACGGCGAGCTCCATCTCGTCCACATCCTCGTTGGCATCTTCCACCGCGGCCTCGATGCCACCGCACACCGCGACGACATCGAAAAGTACAAGGCCGCCGTCGGCGCCTATGGCGAGGACTCGATCGAAGTCGTCCAGCTCCGTCACCAGCTCGACCAGCTGTGCTCCTCATAAAGTGAACCTCCTCTGACTCGTACCGTAGCATTGGGGGCGCATCATTCTGTCTGGACGGCAGTACCGTCCGGACAGAATCATGCGCCTCCTTCATTGGTTTTGCCACGCCACGCACCCGTCTTCTCCTGCCCTCGCTCCCACTCTAGCCAGCATCATCCAGCTCGCGATAGACATGGCAGCAGCAAGCATGAGCGACACCATGCCCAGCGGCAGTGAAGCCTTCCTGGCCTCCACAGTCCTCTTGGGCAGCATCCCACACTACATTGTGCTGACACAACGAGCCCTCTACACCACCAACCTCACCACACGCTCCGGTACGTCGCCTGCCTGCCTGCCCTGCCTGCCTGCCCTGCCTGCCTACACCTACACCAACCCACTCACACACAGACACATGCAAAGAGTCGTGCATCCCGGCATGCGACATCCTGGGTGCAAAGCTGGTGGCTGGTGCCGCCTCTACAGGTGCGGGTGCGGCAGCTGACGGCAGCGGGCGTGCTCGTGACGGCACAGCGAGGCAAGACACACGAGAAGGTAGGGGATCTTCAGACGTCCTCCGGGGCGAGAACCCGTTCTCACCGTTTGGGGCCTCATCAGCAACGGATGGAACCGCCAACCCGCGGTTTAGGCTCTACTGCATTATCGACGACGAGCGGCGAGGCGGAGCGCGATCGCCGGTGCAGTACGAGCTCGAGGTGCTGCACATGCCGCAAATCGACGCTCTGGCGGGAGGAGACGGCAGGAGTGGCGTGAGTGGCGGGGCGCTCGAGGCGACGAAGCACTGGGTGACGTGCCTCAACACGGTTGCCCGCGACGGTGTGCTGGGCGATGACGAGCCGCTGCGGCGGTCGGTGCTGATTCTCGTCAATCCGTTTGGCGGGAAGAAGAAAGCGACGCAGACCATGGTCGACGAGGTCATGCCCATCCTGCTGGCCTCGGGCCTTGCGGTCGATGTCATTGAGACTCAGGCGCAGGGCCACGCGGTCGAGCTGGCGCGGACGGTGGATTTGGATGCGTACGACGTCATTGCCACGGCGTCGGGCGACGGCCTGCTCCACGAGGTCCTCAATGGGCTGCTGAGCAGGACGGTGGCGCCGACGGTGGCCGCCGATGTTTTGACGCCGTCTCACTGGCGGTCATTCCGACGGGCTCAGGCAACGCGCTCGCCAACTCGATTGGCGTCTTGACAGCCATTGACGCCGCGTACACGCTGGTCAAGGGCAAGCCGCGGAGGATCGACGCCATGCGGCTTGAGCAGCCCGAAGTTGGAGTCAGCATGCATGCGCTTGTGCTCTTCGAGTGGGCGCTCGTGGCTGACGTTGACTACTACTCGGAGCAGCATCGGTGGATGGGCGACCTGCGGTTTGACTACGAGGGCCTCAAGCGCATCCTCAAGCTCGACAAGTACACTGCCGACCTCTCGTTTGCGTACTCGGCGCGCTACGTTGGCGGCAAGCTGGTTCTTGGTGCTGACGGCGAGCCCGAGTCGGGCGAGCTCGCCCTCGCCGACGAGGACTTTCAGATCTTTGCGCTCGCCAACTGCGCGTACCAGGCAAAGACAACGCAGATTACTCCGCTGGCGCAAGTTGATGATGGCACGATGGATCTCGCCTTTGTGCGGTCGATCTCGCGGGCGCAGCTGCTCAAGTTCTTCACCAAGGTTGCAACCGGCAAGCACGTGGCGCACCCGGCCATCGAGTACTACAAGGTCACTCATCTCATCCTCGATCCGCAGCCCAAGCCCGGGGCCAAGATCGGCGTCGACGGCGAGTTCATCGGCTACTCGCGAGTCATTGCAACCGTCGTTCCGCGCATGATCCCCTTTCTTATTGTCGACGACATGCTCCATGCTGTTGTCGCCGACTCTGCCCAGTCGGTTGCCGAGGCTGCTGCCGCTGCGTCGCACTGATGCCTGTGCCGCGGTGCTGGTCCGGTGCCAGTGCCAGTGCCAGTGCCAGTGCCACTCGACGCACGGACCATCTGCAGCCATGGGCGGAGGCAGTGGAGGCAGCCAGTCTGAGGCTGGACTAAAGGTACAACCAGGACATGAGTGAAGTCGACCAGAGTGTGGCTTTGGCGTGGGAGGGTGGGGAAGGTGGGAAGGGTGTTTGGTGTGTGTGTGTGTGTGGGGGGGGGGGGGGCGCAAGAGGGGGATCCCCCTCCACTCCCCCCCCTCCCCCCCTCCCCCGCATCCCCCCACCACCCCATCATCCTCCCCTTTTCTACACTCACTCGCTCTCATGCTCAGTTTGTGGCAGGGATTGTGGGCGGACTGGCAGTGGTTGTGTGCGGACACCCCATCGACACCATCAAGACTCGACTTCAGGTCGGCACGTACGCAGGCGATGGCGCCGCTGGCGCATCGAGCTCGGTCCTGGGCACGCTGAGAGCGACTGTGAGGCAAGAAGGCCTGCGTGCACTGTACAAGGGCGTCGGCTCGCCGCTGACGGCGACGCCGCCCATCTACGCCATCTCGTTTGCCACCTGGGGCTGGGCGCAAGACCGCGCCATCAGTTGGGGCATGACGGTCGGCGGCGACGACGCCAGCGATGGCGACGACGACGCCACGCCGCAGCTGACCCATGCTGGGCTGTTTCTCTCGGGCGCGTTCTCGGGCCTCTGCCAGTCATTTGTCTGGGGTCCGATGGAGCTGGTCAAGAAGCGGCTGCAGGTGCAGACGGCGGCGCCGGGTGGCGCGGCACAGTACTCGGGCATGATCGACTGTGCGCGGCAGATTGTCAAAGCTGAGGGCGTGGGCGGCCTCTACCGCGGCTTCCCAGTTGTCCTCTCGTTCTTTGTCCCAGCATGCGGCGTGTGGTATGGTTCGTATGATGTCTACAGGCGGCTGCTCAACTCGGATCCCGAGGCGCCGTCGACGCCGGCGACACTGGCAGCCGGCGCTATGGCGGGCATGTCAGCGTGGGGCATCATGTTTCCCTTTGATACTGTGGCGGCGCGGCTGCAGACGCAAGTTGCACCGGGCGTGCGGAGCTCGCCGGGCGCGATCATGCGCGCCATCTACGCCGACGGCGGCCTCGCCGCTTTCTACCGCGGTCTCGGCCCGTGCATGGCGCGGGGTGCCGTCGCCGACGCCGCCTGCTTCTGCGCGTACGAACTTGCGATGCGGGCCATGCGTTCACTAAGGGGGAAAGCGTAAACGGACGGCTGCACGCACGGCAGAGCGTCACGACCGCCCACTGCCGCTGAGGACAACGGCGAGGCCGACGCCAAGGTAGAGCCAGTTGAGGCCGATGAGCGAGCGAAGGGTGACTGTAAGATAGCGCCAGCCCACGAGCCGACATAAGTCCGGCAGACCGACCTCATCCCAGACGGTTGGGACTGCATATCCAAGACGAAGACCAGCACCATCGGCCTGCCGCCGCGAGACAAGCGAGCCGGCCCGGAGCCGGTACTCGCCACCCGAGTTGACGCCGGTTTGCGCCACGGCGGCGGTACCGGCCGTCGATGACGAAATGAGCGTGGCGTATGGGCCGACCAACAGCGGCGACTCGAGCTCCGACTTGACTGAAGTCAACGAGTCGTACGGCGAGCCGTGGAGGAGGTCGTCGTGGTACTCGGACTCGGAGATGTCGACCGAGCCGAACAGGTCGCGCTCGCGGACAAACGAGTCGTCAACGCCGATGTGGCCCGAGAGCGCAGCAGCAGCAGCGGCGGCGGTGGGCGTGGTGCCGAGCGCCGAGCCGTTGATCGAGCTCGGCGAGAGCGCCACCCGCGCCTGATCCGCCCGCAGCCTCAGCAGCTGCTCGGACGTGGGCGGGTTCGGGTAGACCCAGGTGCATACCGCTGCCCGATGCAGGAACCATGCCGCGAGGCCCGCTGCAGAGCCAGCCGCAATGGCTAGCGTGCCAAACACGGTGCCAGCGTAGGTCGACCGCGCCCCAGACGCATCCTCGCGATCGTCGGCGGGGACGGCGGCGGCAAACCAAATGCCGGAGATCGTAAAGACGAGGCTGAGGACAAAGCCGGCTGCACAGACAAGCCAGTACTCACCGGGACGAAGGTACGGATCAAGGCGACGGGCACCGCCGCGCCGCCAAAAGTTGAGCGTGGCAAAGAGGAGGACGCCGACGTGGATGCAGCCCCAGAGCATTTCGCCAAACGGCGGACCAGGCGCCATCGGCGCACACGGGCCGGCCGACGAGCCCTTGGCAAACTCGTAAGCTGTGCCCATAAAAACGCCCGAGGCCAGAAACTCCCACCCGTAGCCATGAAAGTACATGACGAGGCCGGCCGGCCCGGTCATCATCAGCCCGCGCAGCGACATGCCGACCAGATCGCGGTAGTACCGCGCCCAAAACGACCACCCGGGCTCTGGATAGCCCACCAGCCAGTCAAAGACACCATGGCGGACAACCGCCGGGCTGTACGACACCGGCGCCGAGCCCATGCCCATGTACGTGTTCCAGTCAGGGTACAATGCCACAGCGGTGTAGCCGCCAAGGACGAGGCCAAAGATGGCACGCTTCTTGGCGGCTTCCCACGACAGCGTCGGCTCGGCTGCGGCTGCTCCAATGATGCCGGTGTATGCTCCCACCAGCCACCGCCACCAAGCGTGCGCGTCGGCCACTACCCGCGTTCGCGTCTGGGAATCGCCTCCGGCGGTCGTGGCATGGCGGCTGCCCGTCGGGCCGGAGCACGGGTACCACCCACCACGGGCGCGGTTGAGCAGGCCGGCACAGACAACCGCCGCAACGGCAGCCAGCGCCACCGCTCCCCCGGTGGCAAGCGCCCGTCGTCCGCGGAGAGACTCGCCTTCTCGACCACCCAGCATGTGTGGTAGGTGGGACGGGAGGGGGGGGGGGGGTGGGGGGTGGGGTGATCACGATCGTGCTCACGACACCATGGCCAGGCGGTGGAGCCAAGCCGAGCCGAGTTGGGGCGACGGGCGACGCGCGACGGCGCGTCGGGTGTGGGGGGACGACCACTTCTCCCCCACTCTTCTCCCTCTACTTGACCCAGATGGCGACCACGACGACTGCTGCTGCACCAACAGGCGTTGCAACTCCGCGGATCAACGGCGCTTCGCTCTCGGCCTTTGTGGGCTCGCTTGTCCGTGTTGTCGGCGAGGTTGTCGACAAGACGGGTGCTGTTTCGCTTCGGACGTGTGACGGCCATACGGTGACCGTCCAGTCGCAGGACGTATGTGCCCCGTTTCCTCCCCCCCCCCTCCCTCCCCCCCCCCCCCCCCCCCCCCTACCGCCAGAGCATGTACCCCCCTCCCTTCTACCTTGCGCCTACCTCTCCCACCACTTCTGACAGGTGGTCGGCGGCGCTTGGGCAGGGGGCAAGGTGGCGGATAGTGGCGACGTAGATTCCTGCATTCCACGACCTTTTTAGGGCCGAGAGTAGAGCATTGACGACCGGCCGAGGGCACACAACCATTCACTCACCCCCATCCCCTCCATTTCAGCCGATGCTGTACTCGACCAAGTTTGTGGAGGTCATCGGGCATGTCTCGCCCGAGCTCTCCATCCGCGAGGCCAAGGTCATTCCGTTTGGCGACAGCTTCAACCTCGAGCTGTACAGCAAGGTGGTCGGCCACACCCTCAAGCACCGCGCGGTCTTTGGCTAGTCATCTCCGCCTCTCGACAGCCTCTCGCCCTTCATGCCATGTCCGAGCATGATCTGCGGCGGCGGCCTCGTCTGTTGCCGCCCGTTGTCGTCTGCTCCTGACTTTGTCACTGTTGTCGCGCCGCTGTTCCGCCGCTGCCCCCTCGCGTCCACTACCGCGCCACCACCACTACCCAGACACCTTCGACATCGATCCTCAAGTCATCCCCCCCCCCCCCCTCCCCCCCCCTCCAACCTCTACCCCCTCCCTTCCAGGTCTTCCCCTTCTCACAAACAAATACACCCAACCACCATCCCCCCCCCTCCGTTCCCAGGAGATCTTTGTGTGGTTGTGGAACTCGGCCTTCGGTTGGGGAACTCGCCCACTCTCGCCCACTTCTCCCGGACACCGACCGGGCTTCAACTTTGCACGGGAGGATAGGGGGATGGCACAGGCGCCATCTCCGACGCTCTTTCTGGCTACAACCCACGCCTGTGCAGAAGGGATCCGCAAGGCGGCGCGTGCGGCGCATGCTGTGGCTGTCACCCGCGACGCGCCACTCCCAACTTGGCTCCGCGACTTGGCGCGCTCGACGGCGTACGGCCTGGCCAGGCTGCCACGGCCGGTGGTGCAGAGTGCCGACGCTCTGGCCGCACAGGCGGGTACCGTCGAAGGCGGGAGCGTTATGTTAGATGCGGGAGCGGCGGCTGTGCTGGCGCTGGCGGCTGCAGGCTTGGCGGTCCTTGCCACCCGGCTCGTCCGGCGCTATCCGACGGCCGGATCGCTGCCGGAGCGGGCGTTTTCACGGAACCGGGTCATCCGCGGGCGGGTTGTGGGTGTGGCTGACGGCGACAACCTGCGGATTTACCACCAGCCGCCGCTGCTTCGGTGGCTGACCTCGGGCTGGACGCCTGATCTGACGCGCAAGCTCGGGGCGACTACCGTCCACATCCGCCTGGCCGGCATCGATGCGCCCGAGGCGCCACACTTTGGCCGACCAGGCCAGCCGTACGCCGAGGAGGCGCGGGCATGGCTGGAGGCGTATGCGTTGGGCAAGGCGGTCAAGGTCAAGCTACTGAAGCGCGACCAGTACGGCCGTGCCGTGGCGTCGGTCAAGGTGGACCGGCTGAGCAGGGCGAGCCCGGTTCCGCTCCCGGCGCTCTTCCCGTTTGCGTGGTGGAGCGATGTGTCGATGGCACTCGTCGACGCCGGCTTTGCCGACGTCTACACCTCGGGCGGGGCCGAGCACGACGGCCAGCTGGAGGCGTTGGAGTCTGCGCGCGACACTGCGCGCAAGCGCAAGCGCGGCATGTGGCGGCTGGGTGCGGCGTACGTCTCGCCGATGGAGTTTAAGGCCAAGCACAACGCAGCGGGCTGAGGCGTGCGCGGACGAACCGCTTACGGCAGCGCCATGTAGTGCGAGGCGGCGTAGTTGCGGGTCACGCCGTGCTCGATCTGGCGCTCGATATCAACAAGCAGACCGGGCGTGGCGCCGATGCGGAAGTTGGCGGCGAGCCAGGCAAAGCCCATCTCCTCGACGACCATGGCCATCCACTGGAGGGCGGCCTTGGGTGCGGCGATGCCGCCACCGATCTTGAGGCCTACAGTAAAGCCGGAAATCTCGTGGTACTCGCGAAGGGCGCGGAGCATGGTGAGTCCGACAGGCATGGGCGTGGCGGTGGCAGTTGGGGTCGAGCACACCATGTCGACGCCGGCAAACGCAGCCACGAGCGTGGCCTTGTACACGTCACGGAGCGTGGGAAGCTGATGGATGGCGAGGACAGCCTTGACTCGGACGTCCGGCCCGGCCGCCGCCACAAAAGTGCGCAGCTCCTCATAGAGCGCGTCCCAGGCGTGGGCGATGATGTGGGCGCGGGCGACGACGACGTCGATCTCGGTGGCGCCGTGAGCGACTGCGGCGGCCACCTCGCCGAGCCGCGAGTCCATGTCTGTGAGCGCAGCCGGGAAGCCACCGGCGGCGGCGGCGACGGCAACGCCAGCCTGGCCCGCGGACCTGAGCACTTGCGGCACGCGGTTGACGTAGACGCAGACGGCGGCAGCGGTGACGTTTGAGGCGTCGAGGCCAACCGCGGCGAGGAGGTCGCAGCGGACTGGCGACGCCGCCTTGGCCGCCAGCCGGCGCACCCGCTCATCGGTGTCGTCGCCCGCGAGAGTAGTGAGCTCGCAAAGCGTGACGGCGCGGGTCAGCCACCCGAGCTGGGCCGCCGTCTTGATGGAGCGGCGCTTGCAGAGCTCGGCCGCACGCTTGGTCACACCCGGCTTGTTGACGCGGACAGCGTTGAGCACGCCGCGTGCGGCCGAGTTGAGGACAATGCCGCTATTGCGGCCAGTCTCGCTCTCGCCAAGCGCCACAATGGTGGCATGCTCACCCTTGGGCGGCTCATACCCGGCCTCGCGCGCCGCTGCCGCCGCCTTTCGCGCCGCCTCGATCACCGCACGCACAGCCTCAGTCTCGGCGCGCGCAGCCTTGGTAGCCGGGCTCGGCGCCGTGCTGCCGCCAGCGGCCGCAATGGCGGACATCGAGTTGCGCGCACGCTTGGCAGCCTCGCGCTTGGCGCGTGCTCGCATCAGTGGCGACTCATAGACTGGCGGTCCAGCGAGCGTCTCGGTCGGCATGACCGGGGTCATGTTCCGCGACCGGGAGGGGCTGGCCCGAGCTGGCGAGTGGTAAGACGCCGCCGCAGACATGGCCGAAGTGTTGGCCTCCGACTCGTCGTCTGCTGGCTCGGCCATGGACGTGTTGGTGTCCGTGGCAGAGGCACCAGGAGTGCCGGGAGTGTCCAGAGCGTTGGAGGAGTTGGACGCGTCGGGAGCATCGGGCGCGATAACCTCGACCTCTTCTTCGGCCTTGTCAGCTTCGGCCTGGCGCTTGGCAGCGGCCTCGGCCTGACGCTTGCGGTCAGCCTCGCGCTTGGCGGCGGCTTCAGCCTGGCGCTTGGCGGCATCGGCCTCGCGCTTGGCCGCAGCCTCGGCCTGGCGCTTGGCAGCGGCCTCGGCCTGGCGCTTGCGGTCAGCCTCGCGCTTGGCCGCAGCCTCGGCTCTGCGCTGGGCTTCGGCCTCGGCCTTTGCCTTACGCTGGGCCTCGGCCTCGGCTTCGGCCTCGGCCTTTGCCTTACGCTGGGCCTCGGCCTCGGCTTCGGCCTCAGCCTTGCGCTGCGCCTTGGCTGTAGCCTCAGCCTCGGCCGTCTGCGCCAGAATTGCCTGAAGGGCCTCGCGCTGGCGACGCTGCTCCTCGAGCGAGTCGTCGAGTGAAGTGGCAGCGGCGGCGGCAGCAGCATGGGCAGCAGCATGGGCGGTGGCGCTGTCGCCATCGCCGTCATCGTCGCCATCGTCGTCGTCTGACTCGAGGAGGAGCGACGGGTCGTCCTCTGATTCGTGGAAAGAAATATCGATGACGTGCTCGTCCTGCAGGCGCGCGAGGCCGTCGCGGTGGCCAACAGAGAGCCGGTGGGCGAGGAGGCGCGACGACTCGACAACCTGGTCACAGACGAGGCAGAGTGCGGTCTGGCGGCCGTCGTGGTTGGCGGCGGCCTCTCGGACCATGACCTCATCCGAGTGCTCACCGGCAGCGTTGTGAGCCTCGAGCAGCTCGGGCAGGCCAAACTCCATGCGGCAGATGCCGCAAAAGGTGGCGGTGGCGAGCGGCGACGGCTGCGGGGTGTGGTCGGCGGTGAGGTCGAGCGTGGTCTCGGCAAACGAGACGCGGCGGACCGGCGAGGGCGAGGGCGAGGGCGAGACAGAAGGCGACGCTGAGTGAGCATGTTGCGGGCGACGTGGCGAGGGCGAGGGCGAGGGCGAGGCAGAGAACGACGCCGACGGCGACGAGAGCAGCGAGCCGTCCGAGTCGAGACCCGGCGACGACTCGCGGAGCGGAAGGCGGGCAATGTGGTTGACGCCGCGAACATGGGCGGCATGTTCAGCAGCGGGGATGGTGATCGAGCACACGAGGCAGGTGACCGAGGCCGGGCGGACGGTGTACGCCTCCTCGGCGGGCGAGATACTTGCCGAGTGTCCACGCTGCTCGACGTGTGTCGCCAGCAGCTCCTCTAGCCCAAACTCGAGCCCGCACCGGGCGCAGTACGTCTCGGTGTCCATGATGCGTGCGGGAGGGGAGGGGGGGGGAGGGGAGGGGTTGGTGCGTGTGAATGTGCGGGGGGAGTGTGTGTGTGTGTGTGTGTGTGCGGGGTTGGTGGGTGGGGTGTGAGGTGGGTCGGGGTACGGAGGCTGGGGGTTGGGTCGGCGATTTCTTGCAACGGTGATGTACTCTGCTCAAAATGTTTACATGCGCAAGCAGGGAGGGAAGATAAAGTGAAACCAATGCATCCCGCCCAGTGCCCACACAGTTGGTGGGTCCGGGGCAGGCTACATTGCGTTGTGGCTGGGGTCGTAGTGACGACAGTTACTTGCAGCAGCATGACGACGACGGCGACGGCTTGCGCGGCTTGCGTGGGGGAGGCGGCGGCGAGCGGCGACGGATGCGGCGACGGAAGCGACGGTACCTGCGACGGTACCTGCGGCGGGGGCGGAGGCGGCGACGGCGACGGCGGCGGCGGGTGCGACGAGTGCGACGGCGACGGCGGCGCTTGCGGCGGAGGCGACGGCGGCGGCGGCGGAAGCGACGGCGACGGCGGAACCGGCTCCGGCGGGTCTCCACAAGCCCGCGCGCCGTCGTCCCATCGTCCTCCTCTTCGGGCTCACCGTCATCCTCACCATCAACCAGGGCACAGGTGCAGAACGTGATCGGCGTCGTGTCGCCGTACGTCGCAGGCGTAAAGACAGCGGTCTCGTCCTCGGTCTCGCCAAAGATCATGAGGTCCATGCCGGTAAAGGTCTTGCCGGCGATGACCGTGTTGGCGCCCTCGCACACAATCTTCGAGCTCGTCAGTGCAGTCTCCATGTAGCCGTGGACCGTATCGGCAAGCGCATCGTACTCGTCGGCCTTTGCCGTGTTGCCAGCGGTCCGGTACACGCTCGCAAACCGCTTGATCGAGTCGCGGAGCTTGGTGGCAAGGCCATCGTTGAGCCGCCCAAGGGCGGTGCCAGCCTGGTCAACCACGTCGGTGTGCGGGCAGACGAGCTGGGTGCCCTCGGGAATCTCCATCGTCGTGCCAGTGGCGATCGCCGAGAACTTCTTGGCCGTCACAAATGCGCCGGTGTCGTCGAGCACGTTGTTGGCCTCCATGCGGCCCTGGACATGGCACTGCGAGCCCTCGCACTCGTCGCGCAGGAACGCGAGGAGCGAAGCCGAGAGCGCGGCGCGGGTCGAAAGGTCGCGGTCCGCGAGAGCCTCGTGCTCAGTGCCGATGGGGACGTACGAGGCAAAGCGGTTGAGGATGAACCGGGACGAGGTCGTTTCGGTGTCCTCAGGCGTCGGCTCGGCGACTGCAGTGCCGTTGACAAAGTTCTCGTTGATGAGGCTGTCCTGCGGCGAGCCGATGGCGTACGCGCAGTTGACAGCGTCGCAGCAGAGGCGGGCAACAGCATCCGGATCCGACTTGAGTCCGAGGTCGGTGACCTCGAGCTCGACCTGGGCGTCAACGCCGGGCACGGTGATGTTGGCAAACGTCGCCATGCCGACAACCTTGAACTCGACGATGGCGTCGCCGGCGGCCGACGGAAGAGAAAGCGCAAACGGCGCCGTCGGGTTGTTCCGCATCTGCGTCACAGCGTCAACCCGCGCGAAGATGAGGCTAGTGTCGTACGAGTACTCGTCCGACGTGTCGGTCTCGGCCGCCTCGCACATGTTGTCGAGATCGGCCTTGTCCAATCCGCCGGCGGCTCGGATAGCAATGCCCTCGGCCGACCGCGCGCGCAGAGCACGTGCGCTTGCGGTGTGATCCGGCGGATCCTCACCATCGCCGACCGAGACGGCCGGCGTCACGCTTGCCGTCCGCACCGTCGACGCGTACTCGCCACCGCCAGACTTGGTCCGCATCACCGACGGCGAGTTGCCCGAAGAGTTGACGCTGGTGTCCTTGGCCAGCTCGGCCGCCGCCACAGAGAGCGCGAAAATGACTCCGAGTGTGAGCGTGAACAGCACCGCACCGATGGCGAGAATGCGCACGAGACGCTTGTTCGACTGCTTGGTGTGATGCAGCTCCTGGAACGCCATAAGCAGCTCGTTGACGTCCACATCACCATCACCATCGCGATCCACCTTGTCCAGAATCACCTGCAGCTCAGGCGAGAGCGCATCCCGGTCGAGGACGAGTCCGTCCGGCGCAGACTTGCCCTCGGCAGACGAAGACGACGCCGCCGATGACGACACAGTCCCAGATGCAAACGTGTATGACGACGACCTAAGCAACCGCATGGCTGTGAGAGAGAGAGAGAGAGAGAGAGAGAGAGAGAGAGAGAGAGAGAGAGAGAGAGAGAGAGAGAGAGAGTGTGTGTGTCTGTGTATGGGGGGGGGGGTGTTTGTTCGACAACGCAAAAAAAAACAGCTTGCTGGCAGCCCGGAAGTGACCCACCCAAAAGTGACCTCCCTCAAAGTCACACCCTCGGCCTACCACAGAAGCTCACGTCTCAGCTGAAAGCCCTGCTCCAACCGAGGACTATCACACGTCAAGCGACGCTATGTGCTTGAAATGGGGTGGTCCTAGCAAGGAGGAATGCCGGGAGGAGGAAGGCTCGGAGGCCAAAAAAAAAGCTTCCTTCCATGCCTCCGTCGACAAACCCACGTGTCACACGAAAGCTCCCCTACCCCCGTCCCTGGAGCGCATCAAGTCTGTCAGGACAGGCCGTGTGCATAAGAATGCATCTTCCGCTCTGTGCATTCACTCTTCTGCTCAAGTACCTCCTCCCCTTCTCTTCAACTTACATTCTCCGAGAGGTGTATGCCACTGTACGTCACCTTGGTCGCCCACCGTCGGTTGGCATCTTGTGTTGCAAATTCTTCCCCTCTCTTGGTGCCGCAGCAGCAGGCGGCGCGAAGCTTGTTCTCCACGGCGTGGACAAAGCAATCCCGTTTACGGCACGACGCGCCGCAGCACGACGAGGAGCATATACATGCGGTGAGGGCCACTGACATCCCCTCGAGACTTACCGCCTTGCGTTTTCTGCAATGTAAGGAGCGCATACATCTCATCAAACTGTCCAACATCTCTTCTTTCAGCTTCCGAGCAGGCTTGGCCGCCCGTTGCAGCACGCCGACGCGACGTCCGAAGCATGGCCAACTTTGGCGCCTTTTTGTCGGCCGAACTGTGTCATGCCACGCCGTCACCAACCCGACTCACGCTGCCCACTGCAGCTGCGGCAGAGAGACAGCGAGAGGCAGCCACAGACTACACCACCCGCCTACACGGCTATACTTGGCCTCTGAACCTTCTCCAGTCTGCCACACACCACCTTTCTGCACACACACACACACGCTCTCTCTCTCTCTCTCTCGCTCTCACACACACCTGACCCGGCAACCATGACCACGCTCTCCAAGCATCTGGTCCTACAGAAGACGCGGGCCCAGAGCCTTAAAGACGTCACCAAGATCAACCTGTGGGGCTCGGACCTAAGCGATGTCTCGATCCTTGCCCGGTGTCCCCGGGTCGAGGTCCTCTCGCTCTCGGTCAACCACATCTCGTCGCTGGCGGTCTTTGCCCAATGCCCGCAGCTCAAGGAGCTCTACCTGCGCAACAACGACGTCGCTGATCTGGCCGAGGTCGAGCATCTTGCCACACTCTCACACTTGCGAGTCCTCTGGCTGTGGGACAACCCATGCGCCGACACGCCCGACTACCGTGCCCGCGTCCTGCGCATTCTCCCGAATCTGACCCGGCTCGACAACACAGAGGTGACGCCCGATGAGGTTGCCGCCCACCTCGCAGGCTCGGCCTCCGCGCCCGCTCACCCACGTGCACCCGCGCCCACCGCGTCGCGTCCTCGCCAGGCGCCTATCCCCCCGCTGGCCATCCCCCCAGCTCGGCCGCGGACCTCGGCCGGCACGCCATCATCAGCCTCTGGCATGAGTTCGCCGCTCGCGGCGTACATGGAGCAGAAGCGCCGCGCCGAAGCCGCGCGCCACAACGCCGGTCTAGCCTCGCCTACAACCCACACTGCTGCACGCGGCCTGGCGACCATCCGCCCACGCACGGCTCATCCATCTGCCCCGGCCCCGGGCCTGGGCTTGCACCTGCGCCCGCGCCTGCGCCCGCGCCTGCGCCCGCCGCCTGCGCCCGCCCGTGGCCCGTCCAACCGTCCGTGGCCCACCCGGGCCACCTCCACCCTCTGCCAACGTGGTCAACGCCATCGTCACTCTCCTTCACGACCTCGACGCACGCGCCCTTGACCACGTCATCGCCGTCGCCACTGATCTTCGTCGGCAGCAATGATCACTCATCCCCTGCCCTAGCCCTCGCCTACTCCCCACCACCTCGCCCCACCACCTCCCCACACATACATACACCCTCATCCCCATCGCCATCCCCATCCAACCGCCACCGATCAAAGCGGGAGTGCCGAATGAGCCAAATGGTCTGCGGCGGGTCCCGCCAACACCCAGCCAAACCCGTCAGCCGCCCACCGCCCACACACAAGCCCACCCCGCCGCCTCCACCTCCTCACCCCTCTCCCAACCCACCCCACCCACTGCAGCGGGCATGGAGGACGGGCCAGAGGAAGGATACGGTGCTGCGCACTCTGGGCAGCAGACGCTGGGAAGGCAAGGCGCGGGTGCGGCGGCAGCAGCAGCTGCTGCCCTGGTGGCGGCGGCACAGGGCGCGGCGGGCGTGGGTATGCTTCCGCTGTCGCGGGCTGTCTACGCCGGGTGGCATGTAAAGTCGTTTACCTCGGCGCTCGGCTGGTCGCTCAGCTGGTTCCCGCTCTTCTACACAGACACCTCGCCATCGACCGGCTCGCCCCGCGGCGTCGCCTGGTATGCCCTCGACACCGGCATGGCGCCCAACGGGAACTTTCTCCTCTCAGCGCTGGCCAACGCCGCCCTCCTCACATGCCTTGTTGCCATCATCATGGCAGGCGTGTTTGCGCTGACTCCGTTGCCGCTCCGCTTGCCTGCCCTCCGCTCCGCCGCCCTGCGCTGGCTTGCCCTGCTCGCCGCCGGGCTCCTCGCCGCTGCCTCGTTTGTCCTCGGCCTTGTCGCTCGTGGCAGCGGCCTTGCTCTCGCCAGCGTACCCGGTGTGTTTGCAATGCTGGTTGTTCTCTTTGCAGCCGTTGCTCTTGCCTTGCTGGCCTATCTTGGCGACGCTCCCGATCTTCCGCTGAGATCCGAGACCCGCGGCTTTGGCGCGGGTGTACTCGGCGTTCATATGCTCTCGCTGGCGCTGGCGTGCGGATTGCAAGGCGCCAACCACGCCCTGCCACTGACAATTACCTTGCTGGTTCTGGCATGGCTGGTTACGCTTGCTCTCGTCGTCGTTCGCCCGTACACGCTGCCTGCCTACAACATCCTCGCATGCGTTAGCTGGGGTGCACGTGCAACCGCGCTCACCTTTGTGGTGTTTCTCGCCCGAAGCGAGAGCGAGCTCCCTTCGCGGCTTGCATCGCTTATCCTTGTATGGTGCGCCATTGGCATCCACATTGCTGCTCTCGCCTGCCTCCTTGCTGCTACGCTGTTTGTGGCGGCGTCGGCGGTGCGGGCGGCGACTGCGCCGCACGAAGCCGTTGCCAAGTCACCATCGACTGCCTCTTCGCGCGGAGCGATTCTGCCCATGCTTTCGGTCCTGCCCGTAGCCCGCCTGGGCATGGATGACCAGGCAACTCCGTCTGAATCACCGGGCGGGATGGGAACGCCGCAGGCCATGGCTCCGCTTGAGCCTGCCCGGCAAGCCGAGGAGGCTGGCGGCGATGGAGACCTCCCTCGGCTCGACCTTACCAACATACGGCACTCGCTCGGCGATGCCGGCGTCTCAATCACCGCCCGCAAGTCGGAGGAGCTTGTCGAGTTTGCGCTGCAAGTCGCGCCTGTTGCGCCAGGCCTCTTTGTCGGCTCGGCCGAGGCTTCCAGTAACCGCGAGCTGTTGGAGGCTGCCGGCGTGACCAACGTCATCAACGTGGCGCCCATGGTGTGCGCCAACGTGTTTGAAGACGCCGACGACGCGCCGTTTGAGTACTGGGCGCTCCCGCTCTTCGACGATCCGTCGCAGGACATCACGTCAGTCATTTACGACGTCATCGAGTACGTCGACGAGATCGCTGCCGAGGGCGGCGCTTGCTTCCTGCACTGCTCGCAGGGCGTCTCGCGGTCGATAGCTCTCGCCACCGCATACCTCATGCACACTCTCGACATGGACTACGAGCCTGCGGCCGCCAAGATCAAGGCCATTCGCCCGGTCGCCGATCCCAACGCCGGCTTTGTCTTCCAGCTCCTCGAGTGGCGGGCGCGAGTGACATGGCAGCCGACTGCCGAGGCGCCGACCCCGACACAGCCGGCGCTCTTCCGCCTCGCGCCGCAGGACCGTGGTCACGACCCAGGCTACATCGTCGCCAAGTTTGTCTATCTTGACGACTACTGGGCCGCCGCCCGCTCGCCGCACGGCCCGGAGCTTCCGATCGTTCTCGACCCCCGCGCTGTCTACATTGCGTTCTGGGACACGCGCTACACCGGCCGCGCCGCTCTCGGCCGCGACGGTCGCATGGTCCTTGTCTGGCACGGCGACAAGGCCGAGCCAGACCTTGCGTCTCAGGTTGGTGACATCCTGCTCATCCTGCAGCGCTTTGAGCACGCTCCGTCCGACTACCGCATCGTCACGCCGTCTGCGACTGCCTCGTTTGCTACCCTCCTCCGCCACGGCGGCACCAAGGCGAACACAAGTATCTCGGTCCTTGTCGGCCATGATCTCGCCGTCGATGATGATTACCTTCCACTGAGCTCCGCCTCCTCTTCCGGTGCCTCAGTCTACACCTACGAGGAGTCATCCGACGCCTGACCATTGAATCGCCTACAGTGTTGTGCGGGTGCGTCGAGACGTCACGCGGGTTCACAGCAGGGCACCGCCCCGCCCCGCCCCTGCCCCCACTCCTCTCCCCATCACACTCGATACCATGCTGCGGTCCGCCACACTGGCTGTAGGCCGACTGGCAGCAGGCCCGAGTGTGCGCGACATGGCCCGTGCCATGGCTGCGGCTGCCCGGCCTGCCTCTGAACCGGAGACTGGGCCTGCAGCTGGCGAGAGCAAGCGGGCGCAGCTGACGCGGATGCTCAAAACGTATGGCACGACCGGGGTAGCGGTCCATCTGGCCATCTCGGTTGTCTCCTACTCGGCCGTATACTCGCTGCTGCGCCTCGGCTGCTCACCAGGCGACGTGGCCGACTGGCTCGCCCTCGACGCCCTCCTCGGCGATGACTCGCCTGTCTCGGCCCAGACCGTCGGCGCGGCCTCGACCGCTGCCGCTGCCTACATCGTGTACAAAGCCACCCTCCCGCTCCGCCTCCCGCTCACTCTCGCCGCTACCCCCATTGTCCACGCCCGCCTACGCGCCCGAGCCCGCTCCCGCTCTCACTCGCGGGCCCACTCCTCCAGACAATGAACATGCCCCACCAAACCACGCTGGCTTTACTGCCCATTCGCGGATCCGTTGCTTGTCATTCCTTGCACCCGCGAGCTGAGCTTATCGATCTTGGCCAGCGCTGCAGCCAGCGCGGTCTGCTGCTCGAGAACCAGCGCCTGCGTCGCCTGTAGCTCGGCGAGCACTTCGGCAAGCGACGGTTCGGAGACCGCCTCGGTGTCGGCAGCGATGCTTGCCGGTGCGTCGCGCTCAAGCGATGAGGCGGTGAGCGGTCCGGCCGACGAATCAAGCTCAAGCCCACGCCGGCGTGAGGCATGCAGCTCGGCCTTGGACTGCAGACTGCCGAGCGAGACCATCGATGACTGCAGCGTGTCCTGGACCTGGTGGAACTGTTCCTTGTTGATGCTCAGCTGCTTCTCGGCCGCCGCAAGTCGCCGCGAAAGCTCAGCATACTCGGGCCCGTGCTTGGCTGCGCGCTCGCCAGCACGGATTGAGGTCATCATCGCCAGCGACCGCGACGCCGTCCGCCGCCCACTTGGGCTCGTGCTAGCTGGCAGAATAGGCGACGCTGCCCCAAACCGCAGCGGCGTCGACGTCCGTGGCGACCGTGGCGAGCGCGGCGAGCGCGGCGAGTATGACTTTGCCCAGCGCTGATCCTGCGCTGCCGGCAACGCCGGCGGGCCGTGGATGGCGCGAGTAGCGCGGGCCAGGACCTCCTGGGTGGCCGGCGTCAGCGGGCCGCCGCCAGACCGGGTCTCCTCCAGCCGCGCGCCGGGCGTGTCTGTCGACAGATCCAGTGCGTGATCAAAGCCTGGGGTGGCCGACTCGGGTGAGGACGTGACGGATGCGGGAGTGGGTGCGGCAGCAGTGGTAGCAGCGGCAGCAGCGGCGGCAGCAGCGTGGCGGCGGGCGGGCGGCGACGAGAGTGTCGCCATGGCCAAGAAGCGCGAGGCCTTGAGCGCGTCCTGTGGCAGCGGCTCGAGCTCCATACGAGCCAGGACCGAGTTGCGACGGCCAAGCGGAGCGCCGCTGGCGGCGGCAGCCGAGGCCAGAGCACCCGCCACAGCCGGCGACGACGGCGGCAGGTGCGAAGGCGGCGGCGTGTTGCGCGGCGTTGCCGTTGTCTGGAGCAGCAGCTTGGCCCGCGCGAGCACGTCGACACTGCGCGCCTGTGTTGGGCTGAGACTCTCGCTCATGGCGCAGCGGAGGTTATGCGTGAGACTGGATGGGGGTGGGGTGGGGGGGGGGGAGTGCCGACGCGGGAGTGGAGTGGAGTGGCTGCTGGCAAGGCACGCACCCACACAGCCACCGATCACTGGAACGAGTACAACACCTTTTATTTGCGGACATCCAAAACAACAACCGAGCCGTTGGCATGGGCAGAGGCAATGCGGGAGCCGTCGGGCGCCCAGGTGACCTCAAAAATACCACCGTCGGATGAGTACGACCGGACGAGCGAGCCGTCAGTCACGCTCCAGATCTTGACGGTGGCGTCGGTCGAGCCGGTGGCAACGTAGCGGCCGTCGGGCGAGAACTTGACCGAGTACACAGAGTCTGTGTGGTCGGTGAGGTCGTAGAGACACCGCTTGGCGGTAATGTCCCATATCTTGACCGTAGAGTCCTGCGAGGCTGTGGCAAGCAGCTGCGCGCCCGACGTGGCCAGCGGCGACCAAGCAACTGTAAAGATCTCCATCCGGTGCGCGTTGAGGTCAAGGACGCAAGTCTCTGACGACGCCGTCCAGATCTTGGCGGTGTGGTCGTCCGAGCAACTGGCAAGCAGTTGACCTGTCGGGTCAAACGCAATGTTGTTGACCTCGTCGTGGTGTCCGTAGAACTGAACCAACGGGCGTGCGTTGCCAACCTCGCACAGATAGATCGACCGGTCCGACGAGCACGTGGCAAACACGTTCTCGTCGCGCCACGCCACAGACAGCGTTGGAGCAGAGTGCAGCTCATACTCTTGCTTCATCGCTCCCGACGCCGCGTCCCACACGATGGCGCGGCAGTCAGCAGAGCCCGTGAGCACAAGCGACGACGACGGCGACCATTCGATGGAGAAGATCGGCTGTGTATGGCCGCTCAGCGTCTTCATCAGCTCGCCAGACGCAGACCATAGCCGTGCGTTGCCGTCGAGCGCACCTGTCGCCAGCACTCCGCCGTCTGGTGCCCATGCCATGGCCATAACGTCGTTGAGCTTCTCTGCGTGTCGCAACTCCCGCTGCGCGTTGTCGCCCAGGCCACTCGACAGCTCGTCGGGCAGGACCCACAGTCGCGCCGTCGAGTCGCCCGAGCCTGATGCCAGGAGCGACGGGTCTTTCGGGCAAAACGCAACCGAAAACACGTCCTTCTTGTGGCCGGTCATCGCAAGCACCTCCTCCGCCTCGGGCGGCCGCACCGCAATGTCAAAGTGCGGCAGCGAGGATGTCAGTTCCATCGCTGCCACGCCATCGTCCTCCTCCACCTCGACCTTGACCGCAGGCTTGCTCTCGGCACCGCCTTCACCTGCTCCGCCCTCAGCCGCCCCGCCCTCGCTCTTGCCGCCGTCCTCGCCGGCTTTGCGCCGCCGACGCCGCTTCTTCACCTTGCACTGGTGCGGCATGAGCAGTGCAAACGGCTCGTCGCACTCGATCTCAGACCCGTCTTCCCGCAGGTGTGTCTCCACCTCCAGATACTGCAAGCCCTTCTGCACATATGACACCAGCGCCCCGGGCGGCACCGCAGACCCGTCGAGGTTGCTCCGCGCCACCAGCGACTCGTGCCCAAAGGTGTATGCCGTGTGTGCAAAGCCTGTCGCACCCCCCCCCCCCCCACCGCCGAGTACCACACCACATCGCAGCGCATGTCTCGTGAGTCGCACGCCGTCCTCTGCGCCCGGCCTTTGCCACAAGCGCCGCCGCTTCTCGCATGCTGGGCCCCACTCCGCCTGCACCCGTCGCTCCTCCTCCGCCCGCCGTTGGCGAGTCCTGCCGCCGGCCGTACGGCTTGCCACGCGCCCTTCAGACATACCCATGCACACCATACCTGCATACTGCCATCGGCCACCCCCTCCCATGCACATAATGCTGGGGATGGAGTCTTGCGGGCTGTGGCGCCATGGCGGTAGGAGGCGGAGAGGCTCAAAAAAAATACGACCATGGCTGCTACCCCCCCATCCTCCCCCCCCTCCAGGCCACCAGGCCACCAGGCCACCAGGTCACTGGTCGGCCCTGCACCAGCCACAACAGCCCATCTCCACCCACTCGCGCATGCTACGTACCAGACTCGGACAAGTACCGGAACACAAGGTAGTTGAGCTCGTCCGAGGTTATGGACATGGCGGCGCGCCTTCGGCTCGGGCCCCGGAGACGAGAGTAGCACACACCGTCATCACAGTCTTGGTGCCGAGTGCCGAGCCGGCTGTGTGGCGGCGGTCGGCTGCGTGCCTCCAATCACCCCTTCCCCTCTCTCCCGCCCAGAGATAGATGATGTCGGCCTTGACTCGAGGCACACCCTCATTTGGCTCCTTTTCATGCCTACTCTTCACTCACACGTCATCGCGCCGGAGAAGCGGCCCATCGTCGGCTGGCAGCTGCTCGGCAACGAGGTCGAGGGCTGCGGCAAACTCAGAGATTGACGGTCGGTCGACCGGATTTGCAGCCCAAGCGTGCGAGATGAGCTCGACAAGCTGCGGGTAGCGAGTGGCAAACTCGTCGTTGAACGGCGGCCGCCGACCCGACGCCGTCATGGCCGCCGAGAACCGCTTGGCGCGGAAGAGAATTGACTCGGTGAGCATCTCGTACGCGACAATGGAGAGTGAAAAGATGTCTGCGGCCTTGGAGTAGCAAGCTTCGGCCGCGCCCTGATAGTACTGCAGCAGCAGTTCGGGCGCCATGTACACCGGCGTGCCACGGATGGTCTGGATCGAGGCCAGCGAGCCCGAGTCGGCGCGGACCTTGGCAAAGCCAAAGTCGGCGAGTTTGGCGGCAAGCACCTCGTCACCCTCCATCTGAAGCAGGATGTTGGCCGACTTGATGTCACGGTGAAGGACGCCGTGCGAGTGCATAAACTCCAGTCCAGCCACCACCTCCTGCAGAATCGCAATCTTGGTCGCCATCACCAGATCGAGATGCTGTGCCGCGTACGAAACAAACTCTCGCAGCGAGCCACCCTCCACCAACTCCATCACAATGTATACCGACACGTCGCCGCGCGAGAACCCGTACAACTCCACAATGTTGGGGTGCTGAAGCTGCGCCATGACCCCGATCTCGTGCAGCGCCACCTGTACGTCCTCGCCGTTGAGCCGCATGTCCTTCACCGCGCACGGCCGTCCGTTCCACGTCGCAAAGTACACCGAGCCGTACGTCCCACGCCCCAGCTCCGGGCCGAGCGAGATGTCCGCCAGTGGAATGAATAGCGACGACACTGCCGGATCCACCTCGTCAATCGTGTACGACGCGTTAAGGTTCGACGTGTACTGCTGGAGCACAGATGGCTTGGGCAGCAGCGTCGACGTCTCGCCTCCGCTCCTGCTACCGCGCGCCCGCCCGCCAGGCTTGAGCACTCGCTGGAGAACCACAAACCCAGCGACGCAAACCACCACAAGAACCACCACAAGAACCACAGCCACCGTCTTTCCCTTGGAGAGTCCGCTCGGGCTGCGCGAATGCGCGCTCGGCGGTGGGCTTGGTGGACTCGGCGGCGGAATCGGTGCCGGTGGCGGAGGCGGTGCCGGCGGACTCGGCGGAGGCGGTGGTGCCTGACACTTGTGGTTGATGCACAGATTACACGGTCCACCCGCTTCTTGACACTCATCCGATGACGAGCACGCGCTCAAGCCACACGACGAGCACTGGTAGACTTGGCAATGGTTCCTAATGCACTTCGATGGACACTTGAGCGGCTCCGGCCCCTCCTGGCCACCGAGGTCGCAGTAACGGATCGTATCCGAGCATGCCAGCCCGTTGGGGATCTGACCGGTCAACAGGTTGTGGTCGGCCGAAAACGTCACGAGCGTATCCGGTACGTCCTCGCTGAGGGCCCCATCAAAGTTATTGAATGAAAGATCCAGTGTCTGCGCGTCGCCGTAGCTGATCATGCCCGTCAGCGAGTTGTTCGCCAAATAAAACTGACCGAAGGGCAGGTTGCTGGGGAGGCCACCCACGAGAGAGTTGGACTTCAAATCCAGAAAGTCCAAGAACTGCGGCAGAGTCAGGTTATCGATCCGAGTCGCCAGCTCGTTGAACGATAGGTCCAGGAACTCCAAGCTGGGGACGCTGTTGAGAAAGGCCTGGTCAAAGCCGGTTGTGATCATGTTGCCACGGAGCGAGAGGTACGCCACGGTCGAGCTGCCGCCCTGGACCGGGTTGCGCGGGACGTGGCGAAGGGGCCCCACCCGTGGCGCAAGCGCGTAGTTTGCGTGCAACTCGTTGAGCGCGGGCGCAAGGAAAACGTTGTCGATGCTGTCAAACTGGTTGTTGGAGATCGCAACTGTGGTCAGTGCAGTGCCCGAGATGTCTGGAAACGTGCCACGGAGGACGTTGGTGGAAAAGTCAATCGAGCTCAGCGTGGTGATGTTAAACAGATACGCCGGGATTCTCCCCACCAGGTTGTTGTTGCTCAGATCAAGCCCGACGACCGTCTCAAAGCCTGACGTGCAGTGGACGCCCTCCCATGAGCACACAAACAGGTTCGCCAGCCAGTTGGTCGAAGACGTCCAGCTGGGTCCGCCCGTATCGAGGAACAATTGCGACAGCACCTTGTACGCCAACATCGACGGATCACTATGTTCCTGCTGTGTGCCACTGCCGCCGGCGCCACCGCCAAGGCCCTCGCGCATACTCCCGTCACTGACGCCAGGCCTTGTGACTCGTGTTGCCTCACCCGTGCCTGCCTCCACCAACATCACCACCACCGCCACCACCACCAGCCCCAATGTCCCCCGCCATGTCCAGCCACTCATGCTCGTATGCCGTGGCCCTATTTGCCTGCCCACCTGCTCCTCGACGTTAAAGACACGTGTTGCGCCTCCACTAGCTCGCCACCCGTGGCCTGGCCGCCCGCGCTGCCTCCCGTCCGCCAGACACGCCCATCGACCGGATGCAGAGGCTCCCAATTGCCAACCACTCTCCTGGCCTCACTTGCCGCCACACCACAGGCCACACCGCTTGATTTTTAGCTTTTCATGGCCGTCGAGACGCCATGCATACATGAGGCCGCATCCATCGGGCTGCACCAAGCAGCTACCCTTCCTTGTCGCCACATCTCGTCTCAATCGGCATCATAGAAGACTCGGACGAGCGAGGTGGCGATGAGAAGCTCCGCGTCGTAAAAGCGGGTCTCGATGACAACATTGCCGGAGAGAACGTCAGCAGGGAGCATGTCTGCCGCGTCTGCGGCGACGAGCGTTGTCGACCACGTGTTTGTCGAGTTGGGGATGACAAAGCCAAACTCAAAGTGGAACTCCTCGATGATCGATCCGTGTAGCGAGACTTCTTGCTCCACCCGAAAGGCCTGCATCATCTCCACAGACGAGAACACAATCTCGCGCGACACCGCTTTGGCCGCCAGCAGCCGCGCTGGCACCCGCGCAACCTGCTCCTCATCAAACACCCGATCGACATCCCACTGCGACTGCCAGTACACCTCGCCACTCTCGGCGTCCTTCAGCTCCAGGCTCCCTCTGTCCGCGTGGAAGTGGTGCGAGTGTGAGTGAGCCTCGGCCATGGGCGACCCTTCAGCCGGGGAGGAGGGGCAAGTCTCCGCGTGTTCCGCCGCCCACCTCCCCCGTCCCCCTGCCCCTCCTCCTGCTCCCCAATACACACACACACACACACACACACACACACACACACACACACACACACACACACACACACACACAGTGTTAACATACAATGAAAACCCGCGCCGCAACGCCTCTGCTTTCTCACCCATTGGCGTCTCGAGGGAGCAGTCTGGTCCGCATCCTCCTGTCTCGCGCCAAACCCAGTCCCGGCCTACTCCCTCGAGGCACCCGATCTGACCTGACCACGACACTTGGTCACTTCTTGCTCGTCGAGCTCTCATCGCGCCCTTGCCTGAAATCGCGCCCAAGTAGAAGATCTGACGCCTGGCGCGCGTTGACGCTGTGTTGCGCGTACGGCGTCCGTGCCAGCTCTAGCCCGGTTCGACCTCCGTGCGCCGCAAGCGGCTCATCGTACGGCGCGCCAGCCTTGAGCAAGTCGGCGACAATCTGGTCGTAGCCGGCCTCCAGCGCCGCGCCGAGCGCGTTCGAGAGCACCGCAAGCGTTGCATCCGACAGCGCAGCGCTCTTGTTCGACTTACGCTTGCGGTGCGGGAGTGTGTTGCGGAGGATGAGCGCTGCCATAGTGTTCAGCTCGGCAATCGGCGCCCGGCCCTCGGAGGCTCGCGGCAGCGTCGCCGACCGCTCGCCGCCGGCGCCGCCACGCCGCCCGCCGCTGGACCCGCGACGCCTCCCCTCTGCCAGCGCGTGTGGGGAGTCGAACGAAGTCGATCCCGAGAGCGAGCGCTTGAGCTGGCTGTCGCCGGACAAACTCACGCTCTTGCTCGCACTCGCGCCGCCTCCGCTGCCTCGGACCGCAATGCTGCCGCCCTCCACCACCGGCCGCGCTCGGAGGAGTGCCACAAGCGGGTGGATTGTGCCAGCCAGATCGACGCTCGCGCCTGTGGAGAGCAGCAGCCGCAGAGCAGCGTACGCCCGCTCGACCGCAGCCAAGCCGACGAGCGAGACCTGCGCCACGTCGGAGCCATTCCCGGCGCCTGTCCACGACACCGCAGCATCTTTGGGTGCGCCAGCACCAATCAAGACTCTCATAACATTGGCGGCGTTGCGTTGGATGGCCTTGACCATGTACCGTGCCGCGAGCGGCTTGCTCGCATCGCGCTTTGCAAGCAGCAGCCGCATAATGTCCAGGTCCGAGTTGGAGACGGCATAGTCGAGCGCGGTCCATCCGCGCACATTCGTGGCGTCCGGATCAGCACCGGCCTCAAGAAGCGTCTCCACCGTTGCCTGCCGCCGGAACAGCGCCGCCAGCGCCAGCGCAGCGTCGCCGTTGTGGTTGGCGGTGTCAATGTCGACACCAGGAGCATGAGCCAGGATGGAAGAAGCCACGTCCGCCCCGCGGGCGTCATCGAGGCTCGCCACCGCGTGAAGCGGTGTGTTTCCGCTTCGGCTCTCACGGACGGAGACCGCGGCGTCCAGTGCCTCGGTCTCGCCCGCCTCGGCAAGGCCGGCAAGCCAGACATGTATCACAGCAACAAGCCGCTGGCGGATGAGAGCGTGCAGCAGGCTGCTGGCTGGCTCGGGCGCGGTGAGCAGGTCGACTGGGCGGCACCCATCCGCGTCACAGGCAGACAGTACGCCGAAAGCGCCATCGCCTGCCACTGCTACCAAGTGCGCCACGTTTTCCCATCGCCGGTATCGGGCCGCCAGATGCATTAGCGAGCTTCTTGCGCGATCTGCGGCTCGCGGAACATGCAAAACGCCACTCAGCGCCTCGAGCAGCACGCTAAGGACGCCAATGGCGCCACGTGCGTGCGACATGACTGCGGCGTGGACCGGAGCAAAGCCAAGGTCGTCCGGAGTCGCCACGTCGGCGTCGTACCGCAGCAGCAGCGAGACCAGGCCAGGCTCGCCGGAACGGGCGGCGGCACCCATGACCGAGACGCGGCCTGCAGCACATGCTGACGGATTCGCGCCAGCGTTGAGCAGCATCTCGGCAACGGCGGTGTGTCCGGCGCGGGCAGCGAGCCACAGCGGAGTGGCGGCCAGGACCCCGCCGGGTGTGTCGGGTGCGGCGTCCATGGCAAGGAGGAGGCCGACAACCTCGTTGTGGCCACGGGCAGCTGCCGCATGTAGGGCAGTCTCGCCGTCGCCGCGCGGGAGCGAGAGCACCGACGCGTCATCGGCCTCCTGGGCGCTTGCCAGCAGCGTCATGACGCAGTTCATGTCGCCCGCCACCGCTGCCGCATACAGCGCCGGTGTCCGGGACAAGCCCAGGCGCAGGCCCGGCCCGCTGCGGGCCACCAGCAGCCGCACCTGCTCCGGTCGGCCCTCGAATATAGCTCTGTGGAGGGGGGCAGCCATGGAAGAAGTGCTCCTTGCTGCCTCGAGTGTGGCCCCTTGTCGTCGGCTTTGGCCCGACGTCGGCGGCCGCCGGCTCCCCTAGCCGCGACCATGGTGAGTTTACAGCTTAGGCACGTTGACCACCAACGCACCGACATCGGTAAAGGCTCCCGCAAGCGCCTTGCGCATGGCTGCCGACGATGTCTCTTCGCTCGACCGCCACGACGTGATGTTGACGCAAATCATGTCCGGGAGTGTCGAGTAGCAGATGCCGTAGCCGTGCGGGTGGACGACAGGACCAAAGCCGCCGATGCGCGGAAACGGTGCAGGGTTGGTGTTCGACGACGAGATGACCCACTGCGACGAGGTGATAAAGGCCTCGGTGGAGAAAAGCTCCGGGAGCGGGAGTCCGAGCTCAGAGCACGCCATCCGCAGGCCCAGCAAGTGCCGATCGACACCTGCACCAAAGCACGCGTCTTTCAGCAGCGCAAGGTGCCGTTTGATGGCGGCGTCGAGTGCAGCTCGCTTTTCGGTCACGGTGGCGTCGGGCGCGCCCATGGCCTCGATGAACGCCGCCCGCTCCGAGCTTGCTGCTCGAACCGTCTCGGTCCGCCCGAGCGCAAACTGCCGCGTCTGTCCGGTCTCGTACGTCACCGCGTGCTTGCCATGGAGCCGGAAGTACGCCAGGCCAATGGCCATCTGAATAAACGCGTCTGGCGATGTCCGCCCGGCTTTGAGTGCGTCGTGACCAAAGGTGTTGTAGAAGAGCAAATCCTCGTCAAAGTCCTCCGAGGCGGTGGCAAACGAGGTCCGTGCCGCGACGAGTACAGGCGCGAGCGCCTGCCGCGGGACCGCGAGCCGGACGGGCGCCACGGCGAGGGTCACGTTTGTCTTGCGCGGCGCGTGGGACGGCGTAGCAAGCCAGTGCAGCAGCGCTGGTGGCGGCTCGGCGGTGTGGATGTCGTTAAAGACGTAGACGGTCGAGATGGCATCGGCCGGGGAGTGCTCGCCGTTGACGCCGATGATGCCGTTGCCGTACGCGATGATCTGAATGGTCTTGTCAAACATGCGAAGCGACGCATCGCCTCCGGCCGCGGTCCGTGTCGCGTCGAGAGTGCTGTCCGGCTCGTGTGGGTCGAGAACAATGGCGAGCGCTGTGTCGGCGATGGCGTCGAGAGCTGGCCCGTTGATTGCGGGCTCGTGCTCGAGCAGGAGCGTCCGCGCTTGTGCCCAGTTCGGCCGCTCGCCGGCAGAGAGCTCACCCAGGATCCGTGCTGACGCATCGAGCTCGTCAACTGGGGGTAGACGCGCAAGGGCCTCTAGCGTCGCTGCCAGCGCTGCCATGTCGACCGGGCAGTCCTCCGACAGCGCCGGAGCAAGGGTGACAATAAAGTAGCCGGCCGGAGAGATGACCAGTGCCTTGACCGGGAGCTGAAGATCACCAGCATGGCGTGATGCCAGTAGCGAGTCACCAGCCTCGCCTGGGATCCGGGTAGTGCCCCACAGCGCGGCGTACTGGTGCATCGAGAGTGGGATGCGCGGCTTGCGGCCCATGTACTCGCGCGGGATCCGGCCTGCAGCGAGCTTGGCGAAAAATGCTACAAAGCCGGCGGCCATGTATGCACTTGCTGCCGCTTGCGATCCGCGCAACGCCTCCGGCAGCGCCTCGGCCGGGTAGCCGATAAAGTAGTTGGAGAGGTACGGAGTCGGACTCGGCCAGCTGGTGTATGCCCCGGTCAGCCACCAGTCATCGAGCCACGACGGCTCGCTCACCGCACGCTCCTCCAGCCGTGCCTGCGCTGCGCGCACGTCCTCGCATGCGAGACATGCCTCCACAGCGTCTTTGGCCTCGGCGATGGCAGCGTCAGAGAGCGGCGGCGCCAGCGAGTCCAGCCACCGTGCCAGCGTCTTTTCCAGCGGTGGGACCGGTAGTGGCGGCAGCGGCGGATGGGCGTACGCTGCGGTGAGTGTGCTTGATGGCGGTGGTGGAGGTGCAGCCATGGAAGCCGGGTTGGGGTGAGGTGTGCGGCAATGGCTATGGCTATGGCTGTGTCGCCTTGGCTCGGAGCCACCTGAAGGTCACCACAGTTGGCCGGCGGGCAGGCTGGCTGGCCAAGGCGAGTCGTCACTCGCCACTCACCGTCACTCACCACTCACCGTCACCACACTGCAGCCACACCGCACTAGTCGTGTAGGGCGATAGGGAATCCCAGCAATCGGCCACACACCGCCAGTCATCCACTCGCCTGTCCAGCCCATCCCCAGACATCGCTATGGCCGCCTATAAACAGGGCTCCTTCCTCTGGGGCGCCTTTCCCTCGTCGCATGAGTCGTACTCGTCCGACGAGCAGAGGTACGTACCTGCGGCTGCCGCCTCCCGCACCGCTGCGGGCTCCTGCATGGCTGCCTGTCCAGACCACCACAAACTCACTAAGGATCACATGGGGTGGATGATGTGAGGTACAGTCCGGTCGTGGGTGGGAGAAGGTCGCTCTCGACCTCGCGGTCGTCCAAGAGGACCATGTCGAGGTCGGGCTTTGGCGGCTCAATGGAGTGGGGCGCGCCGCAGCCGCGGTCCGTCGCCAAAACTAGGCGGCGGGTGGACAGGCATCGGCGCGTCCGATCGCACACAGGAAGCACGTCATGGAATGCTGGTGCCTCGCATGTCCGCTGCCTAGAGACCGTCTCGGATGAGTCGGCCGGCTCGTCGAGCTCGAGCTCGCACCCGGACTCGACCTCCGACTCGTCGGACTCATCAGACGTCTCAGGCTCGGCGTCGTCGTACTCGGGCTCGTTTTCGTCCGACTCGGTGACCGCGACCACGGCAACAGCCGCCTCGACCACCGAGCCCGACGGCCCGCATAACCTGGTTGCAGCCGCGATGGCGATGGACAGGTTGGCTCTGACCTCGTCATCCCGCCGCCGGGAGGCAAAGGCAAAGGCCAAGGACAAAGACAAGGACAAAGACAAAGACAAATCCAAGTCCAAGTCCAAGGCAAGGTCCAGGCCCAAAAGTGCCATCGGTGGAGGCCGGGCTTCTCGCCGCGCCCGGTCCGAGTCTGTGCATCGGCGCGTTGGATCGCCGTCGCCGCTGGCTCGCGACTCGCGGCGCAGCTCGCGTGGCTCCCACTGCCAGCTCTTCTCGGATCGGCTTCACCAGCGCAGGCTTACCCCGTTCCGCTGGACGCGGAGCCTCAAGCGGTACCGCATCGACCGGTCGCAATCGATGGGCGAGGGTGGGCAGTCGTTTGTCTTTCGTGGCACCGACAAAGAGACTGGCGAGCCGGTGGTGGTCAAGGTGACCAAAACCGCGGCCGATGCCCGCGAAGCCGCCATCCTTCAGCGGGTCCACTCGGGACCCAACGTCATTTCGCTGCTTGACATGATCAAGACCGACGACGAGCACATCCTCATCCTCGAGTCGATCGGCTCGCCATCACAGGTCGGACGCTCTTTCTCGCGCCTCACAGCATGCCAGGCCCAATTCTACTTTTGCAAGCTCCTCATTGCTCTCGAGTACTGCCACTCGCGGAACATCATCCACGGTGACGTCAAGAATGGCAACGTCATTTTCAATGCAAGCACCAAGTCGCTGCGGCTCATCGACTTTGGCCACGCTATCCACCATCGCTTGACTCGCCCCAAGCGGCGCTGGATGGGGACACCCACGTACAAGGCGCCCGAAGTTCTCCTCCACTACCCGCGCTTCGACTACGCCGTCGACATGTGGGCTGCAGGCGTCATGCTCGCCCGTGCCCTCATCCACAAGCACTTTATCATGCCGCTCAAGAGCAAGTCGGCGCCCGACCTCACCCACCCCGCAAATCTCCGCGCCATCATCTCGCTCCTCGGCACCGACGCCTACGCCGCCTTTGTCAAAAAGTACTCGCTCAAGTCGGCATCCGCGAACCACGGACTCAAGGCCTCGCGCCTCAAATCAGACGCTACGCTCCCGCGGAGTGCCATTCCGCTCCGCGACTTTTCGCCCCATGCCGCCAACGTCGACCCGCGCGCTCTTGACCTCATCGCCAAGCTCCTCCGCATCGACCCGGCCGAGCGCCTCACCGCCTCCCAAGCGCTCAACCATCCGTACATGTCGTCGGTCAAGTCCGATGTCGAGGCTCCCTCCGAGCACTACGCCGGAAGCCGCCCCTCTTCGCTCGCTGCTTCTCCCATCACCGAGGCTGATGAGCAGAGTTCGCTGCGAAGCGCCGACTCGGCGTCAAGCGGCTCGTCGGGCTCGGACTCGGGCTCAGGCTCGGGCTCGGGCTCGGACTCGGGCTCAGGCTCGAGCGAAAGCTCTTCCACTGATGGCAGTAGCAGCGGCTCGGGATCATCGTCTATATAAAGTTTTGCGTGGTGTGGTTCGCGATAAATGGATCATATAATGGGCTGGGTTGCTGGTCGAAGGCGGGCAAGGCAAGTCCGGGGCCAGGCGCGCGGAGCAACACGCCAGTTGGCCGACCAAACCAGCTCACTCCGCCGCGACAGGTACGGCTCGGGTGAAGCATGGCCATTGCACCAGCGCCAGCCCACTGCTCCTGCACGTGCATTCTGCTGAATGTACCCTGCTAGCGGCTGCCTGTGGTGGGTGCCTGCTGTGCAGAGCCGTAGCTTCTGTTTGGGGCGAGATCAGCGGGGACATGCGCAGAGTGTGGGCAGGCGGGTGGGTGGGCATGCACTGTTGGGCGAGAGGGTGCAGGGCGACTCATGCGGACACGGTCTGGTGGGGGGGTGGGGGGGGCTTGCTTTGGTGACGGGAGGTACAGGACCGGCTCTGGGATATGTATCCCGGGTATGGGCCGCACGGAGGCTTTGGTGGCGGCGGGCGGTCGCGGGCTGGGCCGAGCAGCGGCAATTTTTCGGATCAGTGCCTGGGAGTTCCGCCGGTGCGTACTCATCGCCGATGCCGACGCCGACGGCAGCTGGCTCTGCGGCGGCGGCGTTCGGAAGTGGCGGTGCGCTGAGTGGGCGGCGGAGCGGAAGCGGAATGTACGGTGGGGGCGGATCGAGCTCGGCGCGGGGGAGCGGTGGGTGCCGCGTGTGTCGGACCGGGATGCCGGCGTATCGGTGCTCTCTTTGTCGCGGCATGGTGCTGTGCGAGATGTGCTTTTCATCGGGGGCACACCCACCGTCGCACCCTGTTGTGGCGTTTCAGCCCGGCTCGTCCGAGCCATCGCCGTCGAGCATGATGCGCGGCGGGATGCGGTCGGCCTTTGGTTCGTCGAGCTCGCCGTATAGCTCCGGGCCCGGCCCGTACTCTGCATACTTTGGCGGTGGGGGCCCGAGCGGCGGGAATGGTGGTGGCTACTATGGCATGGGTTCATCGGTCTCTTCTTCTCACGGAAGAGCGGTGAGCTCGATCCCGCGCTCCGAGCTCGGGTTCTCGGTCGCGCCCGACTCGGATGCCGCGCTCGCACTCGGGCGATATCTTGTGGTCTCTGCGCCGCCGTACGCCTCGCCGTTTGCCGACATGATGAGCCGGAAGGAGGCCGAGGTGCTGGCGCAGGCGGCGCCGGGTCTGCTCCCAGAGACTGTACTCGACCATGCGCTGTTGCTCGAGATGGGCGGTAGCCTGGCGAGCGCACACCCCAAGCACCCGTTCGCGCGCGTGGGCTCTGCCGACAATTGGAGCGTGGCGGCACTCGAGGTGCGGGAGCAAATGCGGGACGTGCTGTGGAGCGCGTTCCGCATCGGAAGCGGTGCGCCGGGCGCTGCCGATCCGGTAGCCTGGTCACTGCGCGCCGACGAGGAGCTCGTTGAGCTTGCGTCTGCGCAGGCGCGGCGGTGGGGCGTGCCGACGGCAGCGCTGGACGCGGCGGCTCTCGAGCTGAGCGCCGAAGAGACTGCGCAGCTGCCAGCGCTGAGTGGGATTTCCAGTGAGGTTCTCCGGGCGCGGTTTGTACTCGTGCGGCTGTTCAACCAAGTTGGGGCGGCAGTCATCCCGTCGCGGCGCGGTAGTCGCGACGAGCCGGCCGAGTGGAACGTGCTTGCGGCGTGTGTGAGCGAGGTGGATGCGCCGCAGGTAGTGGACTACCTGCGAGGCGTTATCTTTGCCGAGATCAAGCTCGCGCTTCTGGTGCGAACGATGGGGGCGGCGGCGCCGGCGACGTACTTGCGGGTCAACGTCAATCGGGCTAAGGCGCGGGTTGTGGCACGGTCGAAAAGGCGCGGGCCGAAGATAGCGACGGGCTCAACTCGATCTTTGGCCAGCTCTTTTCGCAGCTGCGGCACCTCGACTACAGCGCGCTGCGCGGCGGCAAGAATGACAACATGTTCCAGATCGGCTTTCTCGGTGAGGGCTCGATGGACGGCGGCGGGCCGTACCGCGAGGCGCTGATGCTCGCGTGCGCGGACCTGATGTCAGACGTGACACCGCTCTTCGAGCTCTCGCCCAACGGCGTCAACGGTGTCGGCATCAACCGCGATAGGTACGTGGTCAACTCGGGAGCGACAAGCGATCTTCAGCTGGCGATGTTTGAGTTTGCCGGCGCGCTGCTCGGCATGGGCCTGCGGACAAATGTGAACATGCCTGTGGCACTGGCGCCGACGGTGTGGAAGCGGATGCTGGGCGCAAGGGTCGACGTGGCCGACCTGGAGGCGCAAGACCGGATGCTGGTCAACTCGCTGCGGGAGATGGTGGCGATGAAGCGCGATGTGTTTGAAGAATGGCTCGACGAGCGGTTTGTCGCGGTGCTGGCGAGTGGCGAGGAAGTCGAGCTTGTGCCTGGCGGGCGCGAAGAACAGGTGACGTACGAGCGGCGGGTCGAGTTTGCCCGGCTTCAGGTGGAGGCGCACCTCGCCACCGGCGCGAGTCAGATCCGGGCACTGCGGCGCGGGCTGGGTGCGGTCGTCCCGCTCTCGTCGCTCTCTCTCTGCACCGGAGCTGACCTCGAGTATCTTGTCTGCGGCGCACCAGACGTCAATCTGGAGACGCTCAAGCGGCATACGGTGTTCAACGGACAGTGTCGCGAGTCGACCACTGTCGAGTACCTGTGGGAGGTGCTGAGCGAGTTTTCGCCGGCGGAGCGCCAGCTCTTCCTCCGCTTTGTTTGGGGTCGGAACCGGCTCCCGCTCCGCGACACCGACTGGAACCAGCAGTTTATGATTACTGTCGAGACGAGCAAGGCGCCCGACGGCTTCCCGCGCGCCAACACGTGCAACTTTTCCATCTACCTCCCGCAGTACAGCTGCAAGGAGGTGCTCGAGCAGCGGCTGCGGTTTGCCATTGTCAACTGCCAGGCCATCGACACCGACTACAACACCACCGCGACCCAGGCCTCGCTGTGGGTCGACTACGCCGATGATGACAATCCTGCCGACGACACTGCGACCGCCGCCGCGCTCGCTGCTCCCCCGGCTGTCGCGCACGCGCGTGCGGCCCCAGCCACCTCGGCCCTCTCGTCGCCACATTCGGCGATCCGGCTCTCACCGGCGGTCACCAGCGCGCTCTCGGCTTCATTCTCGTCGACAGCCGGGTCGTCACCGCCGCGTTTTGCGTCAGGCTCACCCGAAGAGGCGACTGCTGAGGCTGCTGCCGCCCTCGCGGCCGCCAACGAGGTCATGGACCTTGTCGACGAGAGCGACTCACGCGGCAGCAGTGTCATGGGCCTCTCTGCCTTTTCCGACATTAGTGACGACGTCGAGTCGCAGTTTGCACTGCCGAGCTCGTCGTCGTCCGACTCGTCGGTCGAGTTTACTGATCCCGGCGAGCTCGACGCCAGCTCAGTGGCTTCGGGCGTAGCCTCCGGCTCTCACTCGGATTCGGCCGGCTCGGCTAGCTCGGCCTCCAGCTCGTCAGTGGTGGTCCTCTCGGGCAGCACGACAGACTTTCTTGCAAGCGTCAACGAGACCGATAGCGTCGAAGAGCAGGTGGCCAAGTTTGCTCAGGCTCTCCTCAAGCGGTCATCGTCGTAACTGTCAGTGATAGGGTGTCTGTTCGCCAATGCAGTGAAGATCGCCTCGTACCCGCCGTCGACGCAGTCGCCACAAGCCAGCCGGCAACAGTGGCCATGGTCGTTGCCGTCCAGCTCTCGCCCCTTTTTGCTCTCACCCTCCCTCTCATCGCGCTCCTCGTCGTCCATCTCGCCGTGCCCGTCGTCGTCGGCATCGGCGCCCCATCGGCAACTCGATCGCACTTGGACCTAGTCACTCATAGCGGGAGAGCCTTGTCCTTGGCCAGCCAGACTTGGGCCCTGTCTTGATCAGCAGCGACGCAGGCGGGCGGCCGTAGCTGATGGCGTGGGCCGAGGCAGTTGTGGGCTGCGGGGCCAGGTAGAGCAAGGGAAAACTCGGGCCAGGCCATGGTCATGGCTGGGTCATCGTCAGTCGGTGTCGATGTCGGTGTCGGTGGAGAGGGGGGAGTGGGTGGGGTCGGCGGGCGGCGGGCGGCGGGCGGCGGGCGGCGGACACTCGTCGCAACCGCCAGGTGGGAACAGAAGGAATCAGCATGAAGAGCAAGCGTCACAACATCCGGTCGATGGTCCGCGGCGGGTCGAGGCGGCCACCGGCATCGTACATGCAACACTACCACCAGGTCGAGGCGACAGCGCCCCTGCAGATGCGCAAGGTAGCCAAGAGCAAGACGAGCGCCAAGAGCGTCGCTCTCTCGTCCATGCCGCCGCCAGCGCCCACCGCCGCACCTGCCGACTCGGCTGCGTCCATGGTCGAGCTCCCGGTCAAGGACTACCTTGCCCTCTTGGAAAAGCAGCAGCAGGTCATTCGCCAGGAGCCTCCGCATGCGTTTGTTGGTATGTGATGTGTGGGTAGGGGGGGGGGGGGGGGAGGGGGAGGGGGACGGATGGGGAAACTACT